TTGTTGGCATGTTGTTTGTTTTGTTGTCCAACAAGTAGTTTTTATCTATGTCTAGATCAGAAAACATCCCAAGCTATCTTACATTCTATGTCCAGCTCTCTAGTGACCAATCACATCCCAAGCTATTCTGTGATTGGCCAAATTCAAACTACCTGCTCTGACTAACTCCATATTGCTACTATTAATATTCACTGTGCACTGCATTTGGGGATCACCACTAAAGATTAGTTTATAAGATATTTTTAGTTCTAAATAGGATTAAATAGCAATCAAAGATTAAGCATTATGAATAAGCATCTAAGCATAAATTGTCATATTTACATTACATCATATATTTGTATTTATGTTGATGTTTTGAATGAATGTGTTTTAGAGGTTGAACTTTAAATTAAGCAAGTAAAGTTCAATAGTGTATTTGAATATTATCTTGTGTACATGCTAAGGCATATCTACAGTTATGGAAGTGCACAAACTATGCATTTTGAAATTTATTTCATTGTATTTAGTTTGCATAGTAAGTTGTCTGTGCGCTTGGTAATACTATCTATTTTTCTCGTCGCTTTAAGTATTTACATATTATGTGCATATTATACATGAGTATTTATTCCTGCTCTTTCTTGTGCAGGACAAATACCATGAGCGGTGACGGTTGAAGTGTGTCACGTTTTATTATCTTTGGTACATGTAGAAGTACATCACATGTGTACCTATTTTATCCACTATGTATTATAAGCCATTTCTCTCATGTTCAAACTGTTTTATTTGGTGATAATGCCAACACTGGTTTATTACTGATTATTTAATGCGTGAATAAAGTTCGTTCCCGGCCAACATGATATGAATTATCGAGGGATTCATTTACTGATTGGACGTTTTGCCAGTGACCTATTTAATTGTTTTGCCAATAAATGTGCCAGTATTGTTGACTACTTTGATGTTGGTAATTGTAACGTGTGTTGTAATGATGATATCAATAGTTTATTCAACCTTGATGCAACGTCTGATGAGATTGTACTCGTATAAGCTATCGATGACCTAAAGTGTTTAAAGCTCCAGGCCGTGATGGTATTGTGGCAGAGATGCTAAGCTATGGCAGTAATGTTTTAATACCATGTCCTCTTACGCGTGTTAACAATATTTTCAGTTCCGGATGAGTCACACAGCATTGTATTTACTCTCGATTAGAGCTTCGTGATTTAAATCACTATCATCATTATTTGTGGCAAGGTTTTCAAGCAGATTGTAAATAACAGGTTGAAACAGATATATGATCAGCTTCCAGAATGTCAGGCAGGTTTCTATAAGGGCTATCCTACAATGGACAATATGTTTATACTGCAATCACTCGTTCAGAAAATATTTGTCGAAATCAAAGGGAAAGTTTTACTGCCTGTTAGTAGATTTCCAGAAGGCGTTCCATTAGGTTAATAGGGATCTGCTCTGGTTTGTTCTTCACTCGAACGGAATTCATGGGAAAATATTTTCTAAACTAATGGATCTAATCACTATTTATTTAATCAGTTGGAGAATGATATTCAACAGTTTGGAGGTAGAGGAATCTTTGTTCAGCAGGATTTAATGGAACTTTTTTTGCTTTTTATATGCTGCCGATTTGTGCATGTTTTCAGATACTATTTTCGCACTGCAGAGGAAAATACATGAATTGCAAACATTATGTAACAAATAAGGTGTAAGAGTAGGGTTGAAGATTCTCATACACAAACATGGTATTCTTAGGTGTCGAGTTACTGGAAACTAGAGTTGAACACAGTATTTAAGATTTCGTTTATAGTAGAGTCCTTCTTAAGTATATTATAAAAGAAAATATACATATGCTTACTTTATTAAGGATTGGTGAAGTGGAAATTATGCATAATATAGGGAGGAGAACGGGTATCGATTAGATGCTTCAGTTTTGTCCATTATGCAACTTCCATGTAATTGAAAATGAAATTCATTTTTTTTAATTGATATGCTCCGCATATGTTAATATACGTTAAAAACATTTCCCATTTTCAAATGTCCATAGCTCGACCCAAGTGATAGTTTGATTGCAACGTTGCAGTCCTCCGATGTAAGCGTTCTAAAACATTAGTTAAATTAAATTCATGATGCCATCAATCACAATTGTATTAATTGTACATGGACCTGAGGCATTAATACTGAAATAGATTATTGATTGCTCATAGTGTAACTTTCAACAGTTTATGCACCGATGAGTGTAATTGAGTAGCTATTGAATTTCAATTGTTACCACACCGTATTGACACCTAGTGCTTTCACAATACACTGATAAAACGCCTATTATTGATCGCACATCAAAATCATGTTTACACTTACATTGTCTCGAAAATGTATGCGTGAATTGTATCCCGCTGGAGCAAATGCGTGTCATGTTGAATTTGTATAATTAAGCTGTCATAGCATTACAGTCTAAACGTTAGTCAAACTCCAAATGACAGTTCATCCCAGTTAGCAAATCGCATTTTTGCAGTGTTGTATTCGTGGAATGCGGACAATATGGAGACCACTGTATTGATAATCCCAATGATATTGTGTGTGACTACTGTAACTTTACATTACATATGATTTACTTGCCTTTATGGAAATCTAGAAAAGGTTGTTCGACGGACACTCGTATTAATTATTAAGAACATGGCCTCTCAGAAATACTTGGAGACTTCCCTAATGGTCAAATTAATTTGGCTGGCGAATTTAATTCCGATGAATACAGTGATTGTATTCCCGGCTCCCGTGATATGAACTATGCCAGTGACAGTTTACTTATCAGGGAAAGTCGAGCGACACTTAGGTTAGCGAGTTTGGTGAACAACTTATTATCTCTGCTGTACTTTCGGAATTCATTAACTGAATGGACGTTTTGCCAGTGACTCATTTACCTGTTTTTTTCCAAAATATGTGCCAGTATTGTTGACAACTTTGTTGTCTCTACAGATATATTCAACTCGGTATCTGATTTTAGTGTTCACACACGCACCAAATATCGAGAATACATTATGTTCTTTTGTATTGGTAGTGTTTGAGAAACTCAAGACGTTGGTGAGACTGAATGGTTCTTGAATGAATTTGTCCGTCGGGTTAAAGATTGCAATAAACAATCATGGTATTTTGAGCTGTCAAGTTACTCAATAAATAGAAGCGACAAAACACTTTCCATATTCATAAGAAATCGCTGCCAAAAAGAAGAGAACGATTCCGACTTGAGTGTGTGTTGATGTGACGTGGGACAGAATGCGCTCACCTTCTCGCGAACACTTGGTATCATCAATATTTGGTTGTTATTCATAAACACATGCCCATGATACAGTGGGATTCGTACATTGGATTCTGCATTTGGCAGATATTTCTTACTATTATCGAAATGGTTTATTGACGCTTTTATTTTAATAGGACCTCTCATTATTGTATTCAATGTAGAAAATAAACAACTTCATGTATATCTGCAGGAAGCTTGGTATTCCGTCTGCTTCTGTGCGAAGACCGCGAGGACTGATGTGGCAAAAATAGGAAACACCTGGTGCTTCACCTGGCGCTCCGCGCAACTCAGTATGTCTGAGCCGGAAGTGTTTATAAGATACATGTTTACTGGTATGTGTTTTTTACTTATTTCATTTTCAGGGCCGTCAAGTATGCCTCCGATTGTGTTACACAAGAATTACCGTGTAACCTGACAGGAGTGTCTTGAGTGTTTGGCATCATAGCAATATGGCATGGACTTAACCGCTGGTTTGTAAAGACCAACTTGTATTCATTTGTAAATGGAACCCGCCAAATCAGACAGTCGTGTTTCTTCTTCAGAAACGTTTGATATCTATGTTTGCATGCCATGTGACGGGTGTCACCGATGGAGCACTTTGTGACGCCGAAAAAAAGTAATTATTTCTTGTAACCCAGACACATCATAAAACACGTAATATTTCCATGACACTTTAAACGTACGATGAGGTTTTTTCAGAGCTGCATCTACTCCATTGCCCCATTATTAACGAATGGGTAAGACAGCTTGCAAGGTTTTATGTTATCGGTGTATTGCCTTTACTAGTACTTCCCATTATTACGACTGTTTCATACCACACACTTCATGACTCAGTGACTGCTTATTACTTCGTATCACACCTGTTTCAAGGTGAGTTTAGATACGGAGATGGAGTATAATAAATCAAACATTGCTTTCGTTGCATTTTCCACTGACTTTTTTTACTGTTATAATAAATATCAGGTTTCTCGGTAAGGTATTTTCTGTGATTTATGAGAAATTTCTAATTAGACATTGTTCATGTAGGTAAAGGCAGATGACGACTGGAGTAGTCCATTATTCTTCAGTCAGGCTCATTTTACCCCCTTGTTTTTTGAGTAGTCAGAATTGGAATATTCGTACTTGGAGTGAACCGTTATATTCCAATATTTGGAAGATTTCGGCTTAAACCACACGTGTTATACATGAGATCACAAGAAGAATGCTCATCCATATCCCGATTCTTCTACAAAGCTATAATACATATGGCCTTTTAAATCACGGCAGTGGTTGTCTAACGTAGTCACATGGCTGTACTCAAATTTGAATACAAGATTTCAGGTAAAGAAACAAGATCCCAGTGGCACCAATGTAAAATGAACAAACCCCACTTTATTCTTATAATCTAGGAGCTTCTCATGATACCAATGGCAACTCCGGTGATGTAACGAAGGTACTACGTGAGGAATATTTCCCTGGTAAGGCTTACAGGATATTGCTATTTGCCTAAGGTCAATATAATCGTTACATATACTTTAACTTTCACCAGTTTTAGCATCAATATAATTGAACATCTATTCAATTTTGATTATTAACACACCACATAGCGAGTAAAGTGTTTTACACACGACACTCATTAAACGCCTGTTATTGATCGAACATCCAAATCATGTTAACACCTAGATTGTCTCAAATGTGTGTGGGTGAATTGTATCCCGTTCGAGCAAATGCGTGTCTTGTTGAATATGTATCATTGATGAGTTGCGCTCATATCACAGCTTTCCAAACGTCAGTCATACTCTAAGGCAGTTCCTCACTGTGTTGTGTTCGGGGAAGGCTAAAATAATGGAGACAGCTGTGTGGATGATCCTCTTTATTCACATAGTTCCAGGACATTTTACCTCGAAGACTCCCATTGACATTGTATTTGACTACTGTAAGAGCCGTCACCCCTTGCAGTCACCTGTCTACGAGGGAGCCGTTCTTAATGTGTCAGTGAACATCAATATTCTTCATCTGGACAACTTGGATGAAACCAAACAGGCGCTGACGAGCACTGCCTGGTTTTACTTTGTGTGGAACTTGAAAGGGTTGACTTGGAATGAAACCGAATTTCAGAATATCTCCCGGGTGATGGTGCCTGCTGATATGTTGTGGTTGCCGGATCTGATGTTGCTTAATGCCATTGACAAATTTGGTCATCTTAGCGAGGATTCATTTCCGCCTCATGTTTGGAGTAATGGGACTGTTGAGTGGTACGCAACAAAAAGACACGTCACTTCCTGTAAGGTCGACGTCACCCGTTTCCCGTTCGACCAACAGCATTGTTCTTTTCGTTTGGCGCAGTGGGTCTCATTCAGCTCAGAAGTGAACTACACTTTTAATGACCCACCCATCACATTTCGGGCATACGAAGAAAACGGTGAGTGGGAAATAAGGAAGTCATCAGTTCAAGATGACTATATCTATGAAGGTAAATATCAAGTTCTCATCTTTGAGTTGATCCTTGTTCGCCGTCGAGAATATTACATTTTAGCAGTCGTGGTACCAATGTCTATCCTGTCTGGTCTCAATCTGATGGTGTTTCACGTGCCCCCGGAGTCAGGGGAGAAGATGTCCCTGTGTGTATCTGTATTGTTGGCCTACGCCGTGTACCTGACCTCCATCAACTCCCTCTTACCGTCTGTGTCCGACCACGTGGCTCTCTTCAGCGTCTACCTCAACTGCATGTTTGTCCTCAAGGCTCTGACTGTTGTGGCGTCAGTCTTTGTTCTCCACCTTCACTCAGCTTCACCCAATTCGGCAGTTCGTCAACGTCTCAGTAGATACTTTTCTTCAGCATTCACCCTGCCAAATCAGGCCCACGTACCACTGCCAAAATCAGCATCACAAGACCTCCAAATGTCACATCAGGACAAAGATGCTGACCCACTGTATGAAAAGCGATGGCCGTGTGTTGTACAAAGTATTGACCATCTTTTCTTTGTGGTCTTCCTACTGATAGTCCTTGCATCTTCAAGTGGATTCTTCTGTGCTATGTTGGTAACCTAGTCATCCGATGCACTGCAACAAATCTTGAACAAATACTGCCTCAGTGGCGCTCGCACCTTTTGGCTTAGATTATTCCTATGATTAAATTACTTATAAATAATAGCTACGTGATAAATCGGAAAGAACTGTGAACAAAAAAGCGTGGATTATTTCACGGTAAAACAGTGTTCTAGCATGCGTCATTTCTGGAGATTGGAACATGTGGTCGCAACTTGATAAACGCAATGTCCGGAGGGGAGGGATATGGCAATCGGTATTGTTAGAAAGGGTACAGATAATCGACATGCAAATTATATGAATATGCGGGAAAGTCAAAGAAACCCCCCCCCCACACACACACACACACACACTTGTACTTCCCGTTCATCAAATGGACTTGTCCGACATTGCCGACGAGTGGGCCTTGTTTATTGGACAATACAACACTGCAGGATAATGTACGATAAACAACGCCAATTCGTCGTTTATTTTGTTACATTGTGTATTGGTATTCGTACTCGTGTTGACTTAGTGCCATCGGGCAAAAGTCGCTCACGTTTTCGCGAACACCTGGTATCATCACTATTTGATAGTATTTCCTAAACACTTGCTCATGATACAGTTGGATTCGTACTTTATGGAACTGTATAAAATGAACTGTTTGGTATTCCGTCTGTTTTGTGCGGACGACCTTCGACCAAGGATGTAGCGATTTTAGGAGCTTTGACTGGAGCCCCGCCCGACCCATGTATGCCTGAGCCACAATTTCTCACCATGTACTTTCTGTTTTGGTATTTTTAACGATGATGTTGTCCTTCGTTCCAGCAAGAGCCAATTTCCTTGCGACAGCACATTGACCACAGTATCAATACATACGGCGCGGATTGGCTCGTGCTTGGTATCAACACCAATTCTCACGTTAAAAAGCGAAAATATGTCCATTTCTTGTCCGTCTTCTTCAAACACATACTCATGATACAGTCGGATTCGTACATTGGATATGTAATTGTTATGGAATTGAATTTATTGTCACTTTTACTTCAGCTAATAGGACCTCTCATTACTGTGTCATCTTCATGTAACTGTATAAAATGAGCAACTTCATGTATGTCTGCAGGAAGCTTGGTATCACGAAGACCGCGAGGACGGAAGTGGCGATTATATATGTATGAGCCAGGAACTCTCGCCATGTATTTTCTGTTTTAGTGTTTTACGTTGTTTATTAAATGTTCGAGAACTGCGATGCTCATGTTGTCCTTCCTTCCGATCAAGAGCCAATTCCCTGGCGACAGTACATTGTCTATGGTATCAATAGAGACGGGACTGACTGGCTGGTGCTTGATATCAACACCAGTAATCACATTACAAAGCTTAAATTTGTCCATATGTTAAGTCCGTTTTCTGTAACAAAGCCTAAATAATTATCGCGGCCATTCTTGGATTCGAATCAATGACCACTGGATCTTGGCACGACTCACGATGGGACACTCAAGGTGAATTTAACTTAGTAGCGACCATAAGGCTTTAAGCATTATTGCAGTTACAGCACGTGAAGAAAGCCAAAGACATTTACAAATTTTATGAGTCAGGTTAGGTGTGCCAGACCTGTATGTGACTTATGTATACTTTTGAAATATTTAGAAATATCATCTTTTCAAGGATTATCAAATAATACATGGTTCAGGGTGTTACATTTCAAATGACAATTGAATGAGTGGCAGGCGCAACCGGCAGATGCTTACCCTTTTCGGGAACACCTGGTGTCATAACTGATTTTCAGAGACCCAATGATATCATTAATCTGTTTCCACACTCAGATATTAGAGATGTTGACGTTTTGAATCTCTTCTGTATATTTCTAAATGACAATGAGTGAGTGAGTGAGTGTGTGAGTGAGAACATGTTGTATATAGCGGCAGTCAGCAATAGCCTTGTAGAATGTGAATAGTCGAGTCAACCAATCAACCATGTCACTGAACGATCCAGGGGCGGTCGGGTAGCCTAGTGGTTAAAGCGTTCGCTCGTCACGCCGAAGACCCGGGTTCGATTCCCGACATGGGTACAATGTGTGAAGCCCATTTCTGGTGTCCCCCGCCGTGATATTGCTGGAATATTGCTAAAAGCGGCGTAAAACCATACTCACTCACTCACTGAACGATCTGGTTACTACAAGATCCATAAGACGACGATCATAGTACCAGTTCTCCTCAGGGAAAAAACTAAAGGAACTCGTATCACGTGTCAACCCTACAAATAATCTTCACTAAAATGGATCCAATCATTTTGTGATACAGGTCATTGTTGAAGGAAGACAGGGTTATTGGTCCACTTTATTGCAAAGTTGAGATAATATTTTGCAAACATTTTTCGCCATTACAGAAAAATAAAGTAGTTGTTATCTATAAATTGTGTCTTCCATGGCGCGTGTTGCACCTTTGCGCTCGTTGGTCTGAGCACCTGGTTGTTCCCAATGGCTCGAACCAAGCGGTTCCTTGATTAACAGAACGTCTGAATGTCATGTAAGCCTAGAGGATTCACTTTATTCGCTATATTTGTTTGTTAAACATTGTTTGTTGTCAAATACTTCAGTATTCCAGCTATGTGAAGGTGGTTTGTAAATAATCGAGTCTGGACAAGACAATCAAGTGATTTGACATCATGAGCATCGATTTACGCATTTTGGATACGATGTCAACCATCAACCATGTCAGCGAGCCTGACCACCCGGTCCCGTTAGTCGCCACTAACGACAAGCAGGGTCGTCTCTTAAGACAAGAACAATTTTGCCCATGGTAACAACGGGTTAGGCAGTATTCACTGGTAATTGAGGAACGTAGTATCCACATACCCTTGAAGTCTCGACGTAATATCAAAATACATTGGGATATTTCTTAATACCGTAACCTGTGAGTATTGGAAAGCAAACGAGGGATAGTCAAAAAGTTCTCAGCCTGACTAATTTTCAACTATAGGCCATAACAATGTGAACTAGGCAATGTAGTACATTGTTTGTGTAGTTCATTCCAAGAATATTTGGTCTATTGAGGCCGTTTGTATATTAGTGACAGCCAGTTGAACGTGACAGGGGTCCAAATGGACACAGAAATGGACAAGAACGTCCACCGAGCAGTCATCAAGTTTTTGACTTAAGAGAAAAGTACTCCCCAAGAAATTTGTGTGTGAATAAGTGCTCCAGCTATTCCACTGTTAAACATCTAATTTATTTACACTACCTATATGTTTCGTCATGTACTTAACCGCCCCCGTGGTTTATTGGATAGAGCATCTGCCCAGAGAAAGAAAGGTCGGTGGTTCGATCACCTGACCTGGTCATACCTGAAAAGATGCTCAGAGATTATACCTGTTGTTACCCTGCCTGCTCTCGACATAAGGGAATAACACAAGGATTAGCCGGCTCAGAATATGTCTGTTGAGGTATCCATGCTAAACTGCTTGCATTGGATACTGGTATAAAACATTATGAATGCGCGAGGAACGCCTCCCCCCAAAAGCGCACAACATGTACATTTATTTAGATAATGTAGGGTATAAAAATTGGGCTTCAAATATTAGATATCTACTAATATTTTGGTTTTTTGTGGCTGTCACAAACAGTTGGAGATAAAAAAAAGTGTTTTATAATTGTGTTGAAGGATTGTGCTATTAATATGTTTAATCAAACTTGGATATCTACTATTAATAACAATTCAAGATATAACCAGAAAAGTATCATCATGCAATTAGCGATTTAAAGCTTCGAAATATTTTAGTTTAGAGGAGGACTATTACGGTTGGGAAATGATGAAGGTAGGTGGCAAAAACTCGATATGGGATCGAGGTGTACGGGACGAATATCATTTTCTACTTGTATGTGCTACTTTTGATGCTATTAGAAGAACATATCGACCAAAGACATGTATAACTAATGTAAATATGCATACATATATAAAGGTCATTGCCACAAACGATACACAACAAATAAAATCACTATGCCTGTTTATTTATCATGCGTATGAAAGAAGAGAGTATTTGTTAAACAATGTTTGAGTGAGTGAGTGAGTTGGGTTTAACGCTGCTTTTAACATGATTATTCTAGTTGTATCACGGCGTGTCAGCTTAATGTGGAAGGAAAGCCCGAAGTCATGCAGGTCTCAGACGTTTACCACTTCGGTGAAACCCACGAGCACGTGTATGGTGCTGACAAACCTAGAAACATAATCGGGGCGGACCGGGATTCGAACCCACAATCATAGGTTATTGGCGTGCCAAAGGGACGCAACTCTGCACAGCGAATCGCGGCGCCTTAGACGACTGGGCCACCCGTGCCCCCAAACAATGTTTAAAACTATGTATATTGCCTCTACTATACTTGTAAACTGTTACTTGTTTATGGTCCTGTGGCCTTCCTACTGAATAAAGTATTGATTGAGTGAAACTGCGGCTGGAATTGTTGAACCCCCTTTGACCGCTCCCCTTTATGTGGCTAATGCCTTTAGCATAACGAAATGTAGGAAGGCACTACATCGAATTGCGCCCTATACACATCTCCATATCATATTGATTGAAGTGACGAGGTGCCGGTATCACTGTAAGTACTTCAATCTCAAAGACATATGTGGGCGAGGGTTATATTCATGTTCCAGTATTGTCTTGCCACTTCTTTATTTACAGGGTTAAGTCCCTGGGTTGTCAAAGTCGATGTGAACTGTTAGCTGATGTGTCACAATATGTCTGAAATACTTCCCTACACCTACACCATAGACATCTCACCACCTACATCTTCATCTACAACAGCAACCACACCTACAACCATATCTACACCTACGCCAGCACTTACATCTAATCTTCCACTTCCACATTAGCTACCACTTAACTACAATATATTTCTTAAACGTTTTCTTTGTATGTAAGTATTAAAATCTCTGCACTTGTTACATGGGTAAAGGTGTTCGCATTGGTGTGTGTGTTCATGTTGATATGACCCGTGAAGATTCCGGGGTAGAATAGGTCTTCAGCAACCCATGCTTGCCGTAAAAGGTGACTATGCTTGTCGTAAAAGGCGACTAACGGGATCGGGTGGTCAGGCTCGCTGACTTGGTTGATGCATGTCATCGATCCCAATTGCGTGGATCGATGCTCATGATATTAATCACTGGGTAGTCTGGTCCAGACTCGATTATTTACAGACCGGCGTCATATAGCTGGAATATTGCTGAGTGCGGCGTTAAACAACAATCCAACCAAATCATGTTGATGTGTGTGTTCACGGTGACGAAGGCTGTTGTTGGTGTTGGTA